CCTGATGTTTCGTGGATGAGTAGGATCCTGCACGACAATGTGGTGGTTTTATTGCGGACAGAAATTAATAAAATCAATTTTAAAGTCCTATTGCAAAGCATTTAGCAAATGTAGACCTAATATTCTGAAACCACTTTTTCTATGAAAAATCAACGAAAAAAAAACCAAACACTCCTCCGCGCTCTTCCTAACTTAACACTTCTTGTCCCGATAACATTTTAGAAGCACAATGGCAAAGAATTGCCCACGTCCTACAAACTGCAGCAAAAGCAACACTTGGGTACCAAAAACCACCATCAAGAAACCCATGATACGATCAGGAGTGTCGTAATGCTACTGATGTCAAATACGCAGCGTATAGGGCAACACTGCAGACAGTAGCAACATTTAATGCGATGGAGAATTATCGGGAGAAAAGGAGTAACGTATATGCAAAAAAAGGAAGAACAAGAAAAACGTGAGCGTGAGTAAAACACCTAACCGAAGGCTATGGTGCAGGCACAACCTCCTGTAGAGATAAAGAAGGAAATCTGGTGACAGATACAAACAGCGTGTTGAGGATCTGGAAGGAGCATTTTGAAAAGCTTCTGGTATCAAATAGTAGCGGTGAAGAGGATACCCTAGAACCAATAATAGATGACGGTATAGAGTGTATACCACCTAGTCAGGATGAGGTTAGAATAGTAATCAATCGGCTGAAGAATAGTAAAGCAGCAGGTGCCGATGAGAGAAGAATAGCGTTGGCCAACAGATGCTACAATGTCCTAAGTAAGCAGTTTAGAAACAAGGCCTTCAGTATGGTCGGGCGGGATCTACTGTTATATGGATCTGAAGCATGGTTACTTACACAAGCAGATGAGACAACTCTTGAAGTCTTTCAGAGAAAAATTCTCCGAAATATCTATGGACCGTTCTGCATACACAGTGAATATCACCGTCGAATGAAGCATGAATTGTACCATCTATTCTCGAACATCGACATAGTCAGACGTATCCAGCTGCAGCGACTACGTTGGCTAGGTCATGTTGTGAGAATGGATTAAGATGCTTCAGCTCAAAAGGCATATAAAAACAAGCCTACAGATGGTTCACGCAATAGGGAAAGTCCACGAATTCGACGGAAAGATTAAGTGCAAGACAACTTTTAGGAACATGGTCTTTCAAATTGGAAGAAGCTGCGCATCAGACCGACGCGACTTGAAATCTTTTTTATAGTTCTATCTCATATTTATTTTATTTTGACTTCTGTCACAAGCTTGCTTTTACATTTGAAAATGTTTAATAATTATCCATGTGTAAACTGATTTTTGACATACTGTTTACTTTTGTCAGATTCCATATTTCATACAGTACGACCGCCGCTCGTTGATTGTGTTCAAACGTCAAACGTTTCACAATCAGCTGTTGTTAACATCAAGTGTTGGGAACTATTAGAAAAAATTGAAATACAACCATTTTTGTGTCGCGATTTTCTTCAGATTTCTAACATGAATAAAATTTGCAAAAGTTTTATATCCATGCTAAGTCATGGCCACATCCAAAAAACCTATACCTCAGCTGCCGTTTTAGGTAGAAATCTATCGTTTAAAAGCGATTTGTCGTTGGACAAACTCTATCCCGGCAGTCGTTTGCAAATGTACACGCCGCCACCGGTAAGCAGACGATTTTATAATTCTTGAGTGGGAATTTTATATCTAATGATTTGTGTTTATCTTCAGCCCGCCAATAAAGATGAGAAATTTTCCGGTTTTATACCAATAAATAAATTGGAAATTACCTACAGTCGCAGTTCGGGACCGGGTGGTCAACATGTCAATACGGTCAATACAAAAGTTGATGTACGTTTTAAATTGTCCGAAGCCGATTGGATACCAGAGAAAACACGTCAAAAGCTTTTAAATTCGGTAAGGATGATTATAATAATCTTAAATCCGAGTTATACTTCAACTGGTATTGTTCTGAAATCTATCTGACAGAAGCATTCTTTCTTATAATATATACGTGAGATATGGACCTATCTATATATATTTATCTAAATCAGAACCCGATTTCATTATGGGCTCAATTCGGTACTCTATGTAAAATTTCGTCTCAATCGGAAAAACATTGGACCATTGACACCCTGTCGGACCATAATACACATGGACCTATATCTAAACGGTGAATCCATTTCCAATTTTAAATCGGAAATGGAATCGGCTAAAGACCAAATAGCTGTGACGAATTTTATCTCATTCATAAAAATGCGTGGACCGACAGTCAGACAAAATACTCGAATGTAGTATTAGAGTCCATAAATTAAAAGATTTCACAACAATCCTTATAGAATTCGTATATACATATATTTTTTAGTTCCTATTAATATAACTAATTCAAGTTTATTCCTTTTTTTTTTGTACAGCTGCAAAATAAAATCACCAAAGAAGGCTACTATGTTGTCAAAAGTGATTTGACCCGTTCCCAGCAAATGAATTTGGCCGATGCCTTGGAGAAATTACGTGCCCTTATTAGAGAATATGAAATTGAGGCTCCACCACCATCCGAAGAGACTTTGGAAAAACTGCGTAAGAGGTAAGGCAATGGGTAAATAATTACCTTTACTATCGGCTGTATGTGACAAATTTTTATAGGAAACTTTCAATTCAGCATGGCTGAATGTGAATTTCTATAGGAAAATTTGAATTCAGCCTGGCTGAATGTGAATTTCTATAGGAAATTTTTAATTCAGCCTGGCTGAATGTGAATTTCTATAGGAAATTTTTAATTCAGCCTGGCTGAATGTGAATTTCTATAGGAAATTTTTAATTCAGCCTGGCTGAATGTGAATTTCTATAGGAAATTTTTAATTCAGCCTGGCTGAATGTGAATTTCTATAGGAAATTTTTAATTCAGCCTGGCTGAATGTGAATTTCTATAGGAAATTTTTAATTCAGCCTGGCTGAATGTGAATTTCTATAGGAAATTTTTAATTCAGCCTGGCTGAATGTGAATTTCTATAGGAAATTTTTAATTCAGCCTGGCTGAATGTGAATTTCTATAGGAAATTTTTAATTCAGCCTGGCTGAACGTGAATTTCTATAGGAAATTTTCAATTCAGCCTGGCTGAATGTAAATTTCCGTAGGAAATTTTCAATTTAGTGTGGTTGTATGTGAATTTCTGTAGGAAACCTTTAATTCAACATGGCTGAAGAGAAATTTCTATAGGAAATTTTCGATTCAGCATGGCTGTATGTGATTTTTTTTGTAAGGAAATTTTCAATTAAGCCTGTCTGAATGAACAATTTCAATTTTGTTTTCTTCCTTTCCAGACAAGAAAAAGCCGCCCGTGAACGTCTCTTTCAAAAACGCCAAAGATCACAAACCAAGGCTGATCGCCAAGGACCATCATTAGCTGATTTATAAAAAAATTAACACCCCAGTATATAAGTTCTTCGATTATTTTTGTTATCATTTAAAAAAATGTGTTGTTATTAAAAAATAATAAATAAGAATAAAAAACGAGATATTCTCATTTTTGAAAACACCTGAGGGAAATCAAGTACATTTTTCATTTATTTATTGTTTTTCTTTATAGGTTATGTAGTTTCTTTGTTTTTGGTGTAGTTACAAAAAACCAAGTTTTACACAAGAAGAATCTTCTCTTTATACTAACAACATTATTATTATTATAAAAAATCATATCAAACAACAAAAAAAGTGTTTTTTAGCTAAACAAATAACAAATTACCCTAAATACACAGAACGAAAGAAAGGACAAGGGGAAAGAGGAAAAATTAAACAAAAACAGAAAATATTGGGAAAAATATCAAAAATTATAATAAAAAATAATATTTATAATAAATGTTTTGTTAATTGTTGTTAGTTTTTCTTTCATTATTGTTGTTGTTCTCTTTTGTTTATTTTTTGTTCGATAATAATATAATAGCCTAGTGAAAAAAATCAAACATTATTTTTAATGAAATATAGTAGTATAACAATACAAATTATACAATAATTGTAAATTGTTATTATTTTTGTTTTTTTTATACAATTTTGGGAGGGTTTATATATAATCTAGTTTTTTATTTTTTAATTTATTTTATTTTAGTTATTAACTACCTAAAATATGAAAGTGGTATTTTTGTTGTTGTGGTTTAAGTATACTGATGATGTAAGTCACACGCACACGCCCATAAGACCGATCCATACTCATTTTATTTACCTAATTCTATATACAAATAAATATAGATTTTAGTTGTTTACGCATCCGATGGATTTAATGGTTGCAGTGGATCATCTTCGGCTGGGGTTACAATAAATTTGCGTCGGTTCTTTTCTCCGGCCATGGATGGTGTATTTGTGCAGGAGTTGAATTTTGAGGAGTCGGGTGTAACAATTTTAACGGTGGGTGGATTAACCTTGGAGGGCATTGTTGAGCAACGGGAACGGGGTAGCTGAAAAAAAATTAAAACTTAATTTTTTTCAAGAATATTTTCTCAATGTCCATCATGGCACTAGGCGTATAGTTTTTAAGCATTTTTTTATCAAGGCCCATCATAGCACGAGGGGTCGATTTTCTAAGAAAAAATTTCCCATATTTCATTTACTTACATTTTCACTTAGCAGTTTATAGGACGATGCAAAATCCACCATGCGTCCAGTGGGTCGGCGACCCAAACCAAATCTATGCCTAAAATTGAAAATAAAAAAAAAAAAACAAATTAATTCTTGCTCCATCTCCCCCTTCAATTTGCCCACTTACATTTTCTCCTTCATCGTTGTCTGATGCGTTATGGTCGCATACAGTTGATCGATTTGATGTACCGTCGAATAATTACCACGCATCGGTTCATATGATGTCTCGAAGGGATGACGAGTACCGACCGGCGACCATGTATGCTGATAGGCAGCATCATCCATTTGTATCGTTCTCAATATATCATAATTAATACCCAAGGCTTTTTGATCCTCTTGCGGCAGGTGAGCATATTCATCCATAATAACATTATCGCTATCGAGACGACGACGTTTAAGGTGACGGGCAATTTTAATATCATGTTTCCAAAATTCACGATTATTTCCGGAAATCGGTGCGATTTCTTTTAGTTTCAATACCACAATGCCCATAACATAAATGCAGAGAATATTCGAAATGGTCAGGCACATACTGATTGTGGCCAAGACAGCCAATTCATTGGCTTGATTTTCCGAATATTGTGTGGTCTTCACCACCTGTGGGAATTTAGTTTCATCGTTTTCATAGCATTTATAGATTAAGGCTATGGCCCAAAGGAGACCCTGGAAGGAAAACAATTAATGAATTTAGTACAAAAAACTTCAATTTCTATAGGAAATTTTCATATTCAGCCTGGCTGATTGGGAATTTCGATAGAAAATTTTGAATTCTGCCTGGCTGAATGAACAAATTCTATAAGAAATTTTCAATTCAGACCGGTTGAATAGACATTTCTATAGGAATTTTTCAATTCAGCTTGGCTGAATGGGAATTTCTATAGGAAAGTTTCAATTCAAATTTTTTTGAATAGAAATTTCTATAGAAAATTTTCAATTCAGCCTGGCTGAATGTAAAAAATTAACAGTTTTTAATAATTTTAATAAAAAATAATGAAAAACAAATCTCACCGAATTAACTGCAGGTGGCAACAACGAAGCTGAAATTGCCACACCAACCAATGATCCGATATTACCACCCAATATACCAATAGCAGCCGCTGCACCCGATGGTATCGCCGTAAATACACCCACAATCAAGGAATGTAATTCACATCTCGATAGAATTTCAGCGGTTAGACCTTCACCAATGCTATAACGTTCATCGGTGGTACAGACAATAATACCGAATACAAAACCGACCAATACCGCAGCACAAATACCAAACAATTCATTGACCATACCCAAACGGAACAGTGACTTATCCTTAATGACTGTACCGAAGATGGTGGCAATAATGGGACCCATTAACGGTGATACTAACATACTAGATGCCAAGAATATGGTGCTATTCTCGATTAAACCGAAAGCGGCTAGGACCCTATAAAGAGCGGGAGAACAATCGAAATCTAGAATTTCTCTTAGGTCAAACATAGAAAGGGTCCTACTTACGCCGCTGAGATCAATAATACTACAAAATCAAATGTAATTGATGCATCCTCGCGTACATTTCGTACAATTTGTGTTACATTTAAACGACTACGGACGGAATTCATAAAACGCTCCCAGGCGCTTTGTTTTTTGTCGAAATTGCTGTAAATAGATAGATGTAATTTAGAATGGGGTTAATAACCTTGAATACTGCTATTGGTGTTGTTGTAAAACTTACTCAGCATTATCGTCATTATCTTCATCATCTTCGTCTTTTGTTGAAAATGCCTTGGAGGCAATACAATTCATAACCGAAACGGATGAACCCTCACGATCGCCAATACCCCATTCATTGAAATCGTCCAATATTTTTTCATAGGTTTCATTGAATTCGACAGTGAAAGAGACCTGCAAAAAAATTGAAAAAAAAGAAAACATGAAAAAGGTGTCGGAATTTTAAACACGTGATGTGGTTATGAAGTTTCGATATTTTTAGGGTTTTAGTCGGATTCAGCCAACTGAAGTGGCTATCTATATTAATAAAAGAGTCAAGTGATTGAGTACGATTCATCAACACGCAGACGAAACGCCTGAAGCTAGTGAAATTTGAAATACGAAAAAAAACTAAACAGTATTAAAATTTTTATAATTTAAATTTGGAGGTAGGGATGGAGTTGGAATCCTAAAATTTGAAATATGAAAAATATGTATAATTGAACTAAGAAGTATGTTTTGGAAATTTGTGCTACTAATGGTACCAAATTTTGATTTAGTAGATAGATCTGGAAACCTTAAAATTTTAAATTAAGATTACTATTGGATAGGGGTATGGGTATGTAGGAAGTTTTGGAAAATCGTACTTATGGGCACTGAATTTGGTACAATTTGGATGTGTTTGAACCGAACGGGCTGAAATCCTGAAATTGAGACATATGATTTCTAATGGAGGGTAGATGTAGGTTGTTATCGAATTTGGTATAATTAGGATATGAAACTCGAATCATGAAATTTGGAATTAGTTTAAAAAATAGTACGAAAGGTAATAAATGGTACCAAATTTAGTATAGAGCGAGATATATTTGCGGACTGACTTGGTGTATAGGGTTGAGATATGGAAGTATTTTTGAAAATAGTACGTATTTCCAAAAATAAGCCTGAGCAAATCGAGATGTACTGTAGTCAGAATGAAGTTTTACCAATGAATAAAACAACAAACAGAAATCTTTTGCGCAGGCACATCCTCCTGTAGAGATGAAGAAGGAAACCTGTTGACAGAAGCAGACAGTGTGATGACGATCTGGAAGGAGCATATTGCAATGCTTTTGGTGTCAACTAGGGTCGGTGAAGAAGATAACCCAGAACCAATAAGAGATTACATCATAGATTGTATATCACCTAGCCAAGATGGGGTCAGAGTAGCAATCAATCGGCTGAAGAATAATAAAGCAGCAGGTGCCGATGGATTACCAGCCCAACTATTCAAGGCTGGTGGTAAGATGCTGATCAGGACCATGCACCAACTGATTAGTACAATTTGGCTAGAGAAATGCATGACCAATGATTGGAACACTTCAGAATCCTTTATTCCCTGCACAAAAAAGATACAAGACGGCATTTACCAACTATAGAGGAATTAGTCTTCTTCCCATCGCACATAAAGTGCTATTCAGCGTGCTGTGTGAAAGACTGAAGTCAATGGTCAATGACATTATTAAACCGTACCAATGCGGCTTCAGACCTGGCAAATCCACCAACACATCGACACATTCCACCTATTCGTCGACTATAAATTCGCATTCGACAGCCCTATCCGTTAAGAGGTGGTTTAAGCCATGTCTGCGTTCGGCATTCCTTCAAAATTAATTCGGCCATGCAGGATAACTTTAACTGGCACAAGATCAGCAGTTATAGTCGGAAAGGACCTCTCGGAGCCCTTTAATACCGAACGAGGATTCATCACGTGAGTATAATGCGTATACTTGTGGTGTTGTTGGTATATTTTGTGTAGTTGTTGCTTTTGCCGGCAACTATTAACTCAAGGCTCTAAATTCGTCCGGATTTCGTCTTTATAACAGATCCTTCGTCTATGCGGGAATCTGTACACAAGATGACAGTTTGCCGTGTGACCTGTTTAACATCCTGCTGGAAAAGGTCATACGAGATGCAAATGCGAACAGAAATGGCACTCTGTACACCAAACAACACATGTTACACGCCGATGACATCGATATAATGGGTCAAACATTGCGAGCGGTAACAGCCACCTTTAAACAAATTGAGAAGGAATCTGCCAAAGTGTGTCTGGCAGTAAATGGCGAGAAGACCAAGCTGGTGGTATCAATGCGTAAGACGTCCAGTAAACTTGGATCAAGTGTGGAACTTGAGAACTACAGCTTCGAGGTAGTCGAAGTTGTTATATACCTATGTACCGCTATAAATAAAATTAATGACATCAGAACATCAGTTTAGAAACAAGACCACCTTCCAACAGACCAAACTCACACTCTACAAGACGCTGATACTAAACGTGCTGTTGTATGGATCTGAAGCGTGGGTATTTGCGCAAGCAGATGAGGCAGCTCTTGGGTGAGTGAGAGAAAAATTCTCCGAAAGATCTACGGACCGATATGCGTCGACGGTGAATATCGCCGTCGAAAGAACCATAAGCTGTACTAGCTATTCTCGGACATCGGCATTGTTAGACTATGTAGGTGCAGCGACTACATTGGCTATGTCATGTTGTGAGAATGGTCATGTTGGAGAATGGAATAAAGCGAGCCTACTGATGGTTCACGCAGAAGGGGAAGGCCACGAATCCGATGGAAAGATCAAGTAGAAGACAAAATCTCGGAACGTGGTCTTTCAAATTGGAGGAGATGCGCACAAGACAGACGCGCTTGGAAGAACCGTTCTGTAATAAGCCAGCTAAGTAAGTAATATTCTTTGTATGTTACCAACAATATTTTTCGAATTTAAAATGAACAAATGAAATGTTATGAGTTTCAAATGGAATTTTATTAATTTCAAATGCAATCCTTTGAATTTCAAATGGAATTCTATGAATTTTGAAAGGTATTCTATGAATTACAAATTAAATTCTCGTATTACATCTGATATGTTATGATGAATGGCAAATGGAATTATCGAAATACATTTGATATGTTTTGAATAACATATGAAAAAGGTGTAGAATCAGTTGATCAACCTGATTTTAATTTAGAAATGAAGTTTGGTTAAATACAAGTTAAATCTTCGAATTTTTAAACCAAGCTTATTGTCTGAAACATATACGACCCAAAGGTAAATGGGCTCTAAAAAATATATATCGAAAGGCGTATTTTTAATTCTTAAGGCTGAGCGTACAAAAATACAAAAAAAATATTTATAATTTCCAGTTATATATTTTGTCATGTGACCGATTATTAGTTCAATTCCTTTTGTTAAGATTATAGTAGTCTTATGACCGATCACTTACAGATTACTGCAATATAATAAACTGATTAAGAAAATTATTTATTCCAATTTATAACATAACAGTTGATGATAACATAAACAGAATGCATATTTTATTTAAACATAAATGTTTTTTTGGCTGACAATGGGAGAACGATTTTTTCCATCAGATTATTTTAAAATGTATGCACACGAGGTATTTCTAATTAAGAGTATAATTAATGAATTATAATCATAAACAAAAAATAATTAATATATTAAATTGCATTTTTAGAACCTGCTGAGAATGCCTAATATTTGTTTATATGCTGGTAGTAGGTGGCATAAGTACAGTTAGATTTTTTGCAATGATAGCCTAAAAAATATTAGTGGTGTCTTTTGACCGATACAAAAGTACATTTTATAAATAAAATAGAACATTAAAAATATAATCGAAATATTTAAGTATGCCTGGTAAGTATTGTCAAAAATACTTCTGATCAATTGGCAAATTTAAATTATTGATCAGGATCAGTAATTAATATTTTAAATTAAAAAAAAATAATTTTTAGATCATTAATATTTTTAAAAGTCGACTATTGTTCAAAAATCATTTAAAAATCCAAAACAAATAATCATTTGAAAATCTCCCGCCCCATTCGCTAAGTTATTTAACTTTTATTTTCAATAACACATGCCAATAAAATTCACATACAAATTATCCATAATCAATATCTTAATCGAAAAAATGTGGTCAAAAAAAAAAAAAAAAAAAAAATCGAAAACGAAAACGAAAACAAGAAATATTTTCATTTTTTATTAATTTATGGGCTACTTTCATATCAAAAAATTTTGGGTACCAAAATTTTGTGAGCTCAGATATTTTTTTGTGTTAACGGTATAAACACTTTCTTGATATATGAATGACGTTCAGAACCTGTATAATATGTATATATAACCTGTCATTTATGTGTGTGTTTTTTCATATCATTCCGACAGATTGTCTGAAATGTTTTGAGATTTTATTTGTGATTATAATATGTCTTAACAACAAAGTTCGTCCATACGTGTGGCGTTTATCAAAGAGGCAAGCTTGATTTATGACCTGCAATGATTTTGACAAAAATTAAACAAACATTTTTTACAATTAATCTCTAAGGGGTTTTCGACAAAAATTCAAGTGATGCTTTGAATTTTTAAAAATAATCACTTACGCCATCTGTTGTGAAAAAAATATTAGTAAATATGGTATTTTATCAGTTGAATTGTATTTTTGCTAAATAAAGATTAGAGTAAATTAAGTATTTTCAAAATTGTTCGGGGATTTTATGATCTATATCGGAGGCAACATTATTTTCTCAAATTTGAGATGACTAATTCCTTGGTGATTTTTCAAATTTCTTGTAACTTCCTTCAATTTGGCCATATTACATTGGCTTCGGAAAATGTTATGATGTGGACTTGGGACTTCCCTCAAAACATTGTTAAGCTGAAATCCTAACAAAAAAATTTTCAATATTTTTTAGACATTATTATTAATTTTTCAATTATAAAAATTGCCTGTTTTTTGCCTATTAATTTTCCAACAGACATTTTATTTTGAGTGTATGCGATCAAAAATCCATTTCACATTTCCCCATCGTCAAAGTCGTGCCCAATGTAATTTTAAATACAAAATGCAATCACGAGAGTGAATTAGTGGAAAAGCGCATACGAAAATCAAATCAAAGAACTTCCGACATACGACATAAAAGTCACATAAATTAGACAGCCAGTCAGTCGTTGTTGCCGAAAATGGGAAATTCAACAATTAATAAGGAACAATAGGTTTGTTCGATAATGCAGTGATTACAAATAAAAAAATATTGGACGTAATGTTCTACGGACCCCTTCGAAGTTATGGCGTCTAGAAATCCATTACGAAAAAATACAAAATTTCTGGAAAATTTGGGTATTCATATTCACTGGTTCATATT